TGCCCATGCAGCTGGAGGCCCAAGAAACCTGCCCGAGGACAGCGCCGCAGCCTGCCTCTCCCCCACTGCTGGGGAGCCCCCAAAGCAGCCCCCATGCTGCCCAAGCACCCCGGAGGCTGCCTGAGGAGCCCCTGTGTTGCAGGAGACCCCTCCCAAGCAGCCCCACAGGACCCAAGCATCCTCATGCGCTGCTGGAGCCCCCCAGGCACAGCCTCTGTGCTGCCGGAGCCTGCACATGCCCACCCCATGCTGTCGGACCCTGCCTGAGACTAAGCAACCGCCCACACTGTGGGACCCCACACCCTGCCTTGGGGTGGCCCCAGCATCCGAGACCTGCGCCACAACTGTGCAGGCAGTGACGGGCAGCACTGGGCAGGAACCACGTTGTGGCATGGACTGCGCATCCCTGCCTGGGCAGTGCTTCAGGGTGGCAGAGATGTGTTTTGTTGGGAATTTTTTTTTTTAATATAATAAATCAGGTTTTTCTGGTGAGCCTTCTGCCTGTGCCTGCGTGGCTCCGCTGGGGCCTCTGCTGGCTGTGGGCAGGGGTGGAAGGAATGGGTTGCCCAGGGAAGGGGTCGAGTCCCCATCCCTGGGGGGATTTAAAAGCTGGGCAGAGGAGGTGCTTAGGACCAGCGTTTAGTGGTGGAATGGCAGGGTTAGGGGAACAGTTGGACTTGGGGAGCTTAAAGGGCTTTGCCAACCCAAACAATTCTATGGTTCTAAGGATGTGCTAGTGGTGACCGGCTGCCAGGCATGGGGGTCGCCCCCCTCTGCTCCTGCTGCCTGCCCTTGAGCGCTGTGGAGGGAGCCGGGCGCTGCCTTGGGGTCCAGCTCTTCCTGGGGATGGAGAGGAGCTGGTCCCGCCTGCCCAGCTGCACCGTGCCGGGCTGGTCAGGAATATTCTGAGTAAAGGCGGCAATTGATGTTTCCACTGAGAAAGAGGGTAGAGCTGCACTCCTCCTGCCCCTGGGCTGAGTTGCGGGGAAGGCAGTATCCTAGAAAGCCCCCGGAGCCTAGGGCTGCATCAGGCAGCATACAGAATTGGGTACAAAAATCACGCATGTGCTTCAGGTGGTTAAAAACTACAGCGAAGTCGAATAACCAGAGAAAAGAAATACAAATTCTTTTTCTTTCCAACACAATACAGTCTTTTACCAGAGCAAATTTGAAATACAGAACAAGTTCCTACCAGTGAGAGAAGGACGACCTAGAAATGAGGGACACCAAGCTGAGATGTGACGCTGGGGAGCACGGGGGGGGGGAGGCGTTCCTTCCTTGGGTGCAGGCAAGGAGCCCTGGGAAAGCCACTCACAGGAACCCTGCTGACTGCAAACACGATCCGTGGCCGGGAACACCCCATCATAAACCAGTAAGGAAAACCCATTTGTGAGCAGGGGTAACTGGGAGCAATTGGGGTTGCATCGCCCCGCTGCTGGCCCTGCCTCCGGCATCAGAGCTGGGCTTAGCACCATCCCAGAATCCCATGAAACCCCCTCGGAAGCTGTCTCAGGGTGGTCCCTCCTTCCCGCGGCATCCT